ATCAAGCAGGCATAGGGATTACTCCAAATTCTGGCCTTTTAGCAAGGGATAAAGATAGGATGACTACCACTCAAAGGGCTATTGCAAATTCTGGTCTTTAGCAGGCTCACAGATAACACTGTTACATCCATGCAGACTGGTTTATCTAGGATATTTGGCGACTCTAAAATAACTAACTCCCATCTTTAGTTAGAAGGTAGCCCATTCTCCTGGATAGTAACCAATTTTCAAGAACTTCTAGATTTGTCTTAACAGCTTCCCCTCCTGAGTTTCCCTAGAATTTCATCTCCTATGGAATCATGCATTGACATGCCATTCAAGATTTAAAGTCCTCCACTATAGGACCATGAAATTATATATATATATATATATATATATATATATATATATAGACAGAGATATAGACATATATATAGATATCTATATATCTATCATCTATATATCTCCTAAGAACCAGTACAGATCTTCCAGTCCTAAGGGAATTATATGTTTCCTTTATGACATCTGTTTCTCAAGTACTTCATGTTTTCCAATCTCTTTGTCTTTGCTTATGTTATTCCTACTTTCTTCATGTCAGGCATCCTCTTTTCACCGATTGAAATCATACATTACTATCCAATGCCTATCTCAAATGCTGTCTTCTCCAAAAAACCTGATAAGCAATCAGTCATTTTCTTTCCTGCCCCTTCTCCATCCCTTCCTTCCTCCTTTCCTCCCTTCCTCTCTCCCTCCCTCCCTCCCTCCCTCCCTCCCCTCCTTCCTTCCTTCCTTCCTTCCTTCCTTCCTTCCTTCCTTCCTTCCTTCCTTCCTTCCTTCTTCTCTCACTGTTACTAATGAATACTGAAATGTTTCCCCTTTTGTGAATTCTTTGGCCCATTTTTCTAATAAGTTCTTCATGAAGCCCGTCTTTATACCTTCAAAGCATGCATACTGTCTTCTCTTTTCAAATTATTGTAGAAATTTTTAACTCTTTTTAAGCAAACATATGAATTCATTTCGTGCTACATAGGCATTTATATACTTGCCTCATCTCCCCTGCAAGACCTTGAGGAACTTTCATGGCAAAAACTGTGCTCACTTTTTGTGTGCTCCATGTGGATTCCAACTAATGCTAGGTATCTGGCATTACATGCAGTAGCAAGGCATTTTTCTGAAATAACTTTTTAAAACTTAAAGCAGCAATCTTCACAAGAGAAGTCTGATATTTATGCTGGCTAATATTATCATAGTAAGAGTTGAAAGGCACATCACTAATTGGTCTATAGGAATTATGTCTTGCTGATGTCAAATGAAAGAATAAAATGAATGTAACTTTCACAACAGAAGTCAAATATATATGATCAGGGTTCCAATTAAATGTTCAAAATTGGGTTAGGGGACACCAGAAAGCTTGGTGCAGCAACTAAGACAGTATCTTCATGATTAAAAGCAACCCACATTCTATTACGTGACTATTTGGAAATTGTGATTCTTGTATCCCTATACAAGTATTGACACAGTAAAATAAACAGCTTTAAACTTACCCCTAGGGTAGACAAAAATTGCCCAGATGGTCTAAGCCCTATTACTGTATTAAAAAGAACAATTAGAAGCATGATTTCTGAAGTAATTCTTCGACTTGTCCTTGGTTGAGTCACCTGAACTGTCTGGACCTAAGTCTTCTCACTGTACAACATGGACATAATTATACCTACTTAATCAGAGTGGCTGTGGGAATTACATAAATTAGTGCACAAGAAGAATTTGCATAGCACCTAGCATATCAATAAATGCCACTTTTATGCTTATTGTTGTTTTATTTTTTTACACAACCAACATAGGACATCTAATATTATTTTGCTTTTGTTTTATCCCTTGGTCACAACCCCACCTTCTTCCCAAAGGCAAACATTACCCTAAATCATTGTTTAGCTTCACATATTTTGAATCGCATATAATTAATGTCACACTGATTTTCACTTAACATTGTAAGATTCCTTCAAGGTGGTTTTTTTCAATGCCAATAGTATATATATCACAAAAATTGGGGTTATTGTTCTGGTCAAAGATCTGCAGATTCACTGTAGATCTTAATCATTTGGAAATAACACTACTGAGAACTTGTTTGCTATAAAATTTTATTTCCTTATAACAACAGATCAAACTAGTGGACTAAGAGCACAACGACATTCCAAGACTCAATTGAAATACAAGTACACAAGTACCAAAAGTAGTAACAGCAAAAAGTAGGGAGAGGAAGAGAAAGAGAATGTATATGCAGGAGGGAGGTTACAACAGACAAAACATTTCACTTTATGCCTGGAATGAAAGAAGCAAATGAGAACGGGATGAGTGAGTAGAACAGGCCACATCTTAGAATAAGGTAGGTAGGGGCTGAGAAAGAGGTAAAAGGAAGGTTAATCTGTAGATCATTCAAATAGAACAAATTTTTCTCAAGGGGTTCCCACACATGCTGACTACAATTTCAGTCGGAATCATAGGGTTGGAAAAGGTGAATAAAGCCTTCCTCAGCCCTGTACCTAGAGGGCACTACCACATTTCCTGAGGCTACTAAACATTTCAAAAGTCCATGATGGGGACATGCAGCAAAAAACCCGAGTCAGAACTGGCAAAAATCATTCTTGGTGCTCAAGTAGTATGTGGCTCTAAGACCAAAAACACTGTTGAATATTTGCTTCACCATTCATAGGGGAGGCCAAGTGGGAAGGAGAGAAATGACATCAGTAATTTCTTACATCTCTTCCAGAAAAGTAAAAAAAGGTGATTAATGGGGAGGAGTTCTGAAATTCAACTACCCAAAATTTAATCTAGGCTGCTTACCTGTCTATTACGGTTGGCAGACTCATGAGTACAGTCCGAAGAGCTCTTTTGTAAAACATTGGCTCATAAAATCTTTGAGCCAGAAAAGATGATTTCACAAGTCTCTCTGGATTCTAGAATCCTGGTTCCCAACCCTCAATCCAGTGATCTCTTCACTCGTTTTAAGTATTTCATTATTATGAAAATAGCACATGTTCATCATAGATAACTTGAAAATTAAGGAAAAGTGTGGAAAAATAATAATCATATAATGATTACTGAAAAAGTCTATATTTTAAACAGTCTTCTTAAAGACTTCCTATGTATATTTTTATATAATTTTGATCACACTGAATGTACAAGTTTAACCTTTCTCCCACAGAAGAGCACTTTCATAAATACATTAAATTCTTCATGTTTTATAGTATTTTAATAATATCTCATCATTTGAGAGCTATAATATTGTATAACACAAGTACTTGTATTTGGTCACTTAGACCATGTAATTGCCATTATAAATTATTTCTCAGTGAGCATTTTTTGCAAATGGATGTTCAAATTTCTATTTTGTTATAATATATCTCTTTATGCATCTATCGGTCTGTTTTCCTGTCTATCAGATTGAGAAACATGAAACATTGAAAGTTCTTACAGAATATTTCCAAATAATTTTCCAAAGGGGTGGGACCAATTTACATTCCCACCAGCTGCAAATAAGTGTAGTTTCTTTTTCTAAATCTTTGCTAATTCCATAGACAAAAATAAATTAGAATTCAGTTGTTTTAATTTCTATTCACTCTTAGTAAGAATAACATTTAAGTTAATTATCCATTTGTATTTACTTGTTTAAGAATTGGTAACATCCACTATGTATCCCTATTGGGATTTCTGCAATTGCACCAATTTTTTTTCATATCATATTTACCATACTCATTCAACTATTTATCATATTAATTAAAAATGTAATTCCCATTTATTTTCTTTTTTTTTTATTTATTTATTTTTAGGGAGGGAAGGGAGGGAGGGAGGGAGGGAGGGAGGGAGAGAGAGGGAGAGAGAGAGAGAGAGAGAGAGAGAGAGAGAAACATCAATGTGCAGTTGCTGGAGGTTATGGCCTGCAACCCAGGAATGTACCCCTGGCTGGGAATCGAACCTGGGACACTTTGGTTCCCAGCCCGCGCTCAATCCACTGAGCTACACCAGCCAGGGCCCATTTATTTTCTTAATTTTATCTTTAACATTTATATATTTACATCTAAAATTTTTGTTGTGAAATCTATTGACAATTTCTTTTATAATTTGTTCCTTCTTTCTCTGTAAGCACAAAGAAAATCCTTCCTCAGTACTAGATCAGAACAAAATTTATATTTTACCCTAGGTTTTAAAAAAGTAGTTTTTAAAGATTAGTCCTTTAACACATCTGGATTGGGTAGATAGTGTGAGTTAAGGAACATATTTCTTTTTTGTTTTCTGAAAGCACTACTCTTTTGATCAGGCATAACCATTCTTTTTAAAGTAGTATAAAATTCCAAGAGAGGTTTGTGGCAGGTCCTGCCTCCTCTCCTAATTAGAGAAGTAATTCCCATTCTGCTCATCCAAACCACCTATTCCATGCAGGGCTACCCTAAATCATAATCCCTCTAACTCTGCTAGGATAACAAAGTGAATCAGTTGCCTATCTCATGTTTACTTTTGCTCTCTGGCCATTTTGACACCTGTGTAGACACACAATAATTTTCCTACTGTTGGTTTGTAACTCCAGTCCTTATATCTGACGTATCATTCTGAAAACCTTTTGGGGCATTTCTCTTTCTCCATGACTTTAAAATAGGTTAGTACATTACAATAGTGTGGGGAACAGGACCAATAAAATACCATTGTTCTGGTCAATATAAAATAAAGTATATAAAACAAAATGGAGTCACTCATGTCAACTAAGATGACTGCTGGCCAGCTGTGACAGTTTGGTTCAAGAAGGAAACTACCTAAATCAGGCCAGGCACCCTGCCAAATGCCTGCCAGGGTGGCATATCCAAGATATCAGCATATAGATAGATGTGTCTGCAGAGAGGGCACACCTACCAATAGAGTGCTCGGGGCTCTTGGCCCTGAGCCACAGCTCAATCACGTGCCAAGAATTTGGGTATAACTGAGGTCAACTTCAGAGCCACAACCGAGACAGCTAAACTACCACCACAAGCTGCTGCTCCACACTACCCCAGGTCACATGTTGCTGGAGGCCCTGCCCAACTGAACTTGAACTTCCACACCATCTGAGGCATCACTCCTATCGGACTGAGACACCTGCTTGCTGATGCTGTTTCCTGGGCCTAGGACTGAGACTCGGGTTTGTTAATCCCCCGTTGACTGTTGTGTGTTAACTGTGTGTGATATTATAGAGGAGAGGATATTAATGTAATATTGGTGTTCTATCTCCTGTGAATCCGCACTTAATAAAAGCTGAGTTTGAGCAACAGCTCTTGTGGCTCTCTGCCTCATGCCTTGCTGCTGCTGAGCATAGATTCAGCTGGGCAACCTACTTCCCTTGAGCTGAGGGTGCGCTCTGACTTGCAGGAAAGACTATAATGAGACCCTCCTCAAGAGGTACGGTCTATAGGGATCATATCGAGGGTACTCATGTCAAATAAATAATTGGATCACAATAAAAGTGATTTAATTTGGTTAATTCATTTAAGCATTTTGTCTTGTACCTAAAGTACATTTATTGTTGATATGCTTTCGAAAACTCCACTGAAAAATTAATCAGGCGATTTAATTGCCCGAAACAAACACAGGATAACCTCTCAAGAACAAGATTAGAAAAATGAAGGTCATTGGGTCAGGGCATGATGATCTGGCTTAACCAAAAGAATCAGACTCAACGGTATATTTAAATTTCTATGTATAAATCAGATGAGCTATCTTTGAAAAAAGAATTCTGCTTATAATCATATATTTGAACTACATATGCATAAAACTTCCAAGGATGGCAGAACTAATGGCTGGGTCCACATGTGGAAGATGACATTCTTGAATTCAGGGCACAGGGTGACATTGAGTAGCTCCAATTTCAAGAAGGGCTAAAAATCTTCAGGCCCTTGACCATATGCTCCCCAAACCTATCAGTGATCCTCCTGGACTCTTTTCAAATTCAGCAAATGCATCTTTTCCATTGAAGTCATTGGGATGGATAACAATCTTCACAGGTCATCTAATCCGTGCACCTGCCTTTAGGCAAGGCTGGTCATAAAACCACCCCAGACAGATGCTTCTTTGCTGTTCTCAAAATTCCCGGAGGAAGGAGGTTCCACAGGCTGCCACAATAATCCACCCCCATGTTTCCCAGTCACCCTTAGGACACTGAATCCTAAGCATTTAGTTAATAGCAGGTGGCAATGAGACAACTCATTTTCTCTCCCTGAGGAATTGGAAATTGGCCAAATTAGCCATGGGGCAATTGCCAAAGTGTACAGAAACCCCAATGCTGCTCTGAGCTTTACAAATATCAAGTTAAGTGGAGGTATTTAGTGTTCCCAGCTGACAAAATACCAAATTCAGTAATGAGCTGGGTAAGTTTTATAATGCTCAGTCAGGAATTTATATGTCAGTAATAAAGTTCAATGTTTATTTCTATTTTAAAAAATTGAAAAAAATTAAAACCTTGGAAGTAAATTTTTAATAATTCTTGGATTAAAACTGAATTATAAAACATTTATAATAAATTTTAAAAGACATATCAAAACCCTTGGGATACAGATGAAGTTAGAGAAACATTTATTATCTAAATGTTTTCATTATTTATAAAAATGGCAAATAAATAAACTAATATACAGATTAAGCTACTACAAAAATAAGTAAACTGAAAGTAGGAAGTAGAAATTAATAAAGCTAAACACTAATAGTGATTAAGTTAAAAAACAATCAAATTCTACACACACACACATAAACATACAATAAAACTCCTAGGAAAATTTAGCTAAAGGAAAAACAGGAAAAACAGATATAATGAAAAGAGATATAAATGCAGACAAAGATATTTAAAAATTATAAGTGAATAATATGCCTTCATCATGTTAATATAGTTAAAACTCTTGATAAACTGAGTGATTTTCGAGCAAAATATGTAAACTACCAAATGAATTCCAACAGAAATAAAATAAATAGATACATGAATATACTTCAGTATAGCCAAATAATCACAAAGAAACTTATAAGGTTTTTATATGTAAATGTAGGGGCTAGTCTTTATATAAAATTTTTTATTGTTATTCTATTATGGTTATACCAATTTTTCCCCCTTTGTCCTCCTTTGCCCAGCCCGTGCTCTGTTCCCACAGCCAATCCCCACTCTGTTGTCCATGTCCATGGGTCATTCATACATGTTCTTTGACTAGTCCCTTCCCTTTCTTTCCACCATTATCCCCCAACCCCCTCCCTTCTGTCTGCTGTCAGTCTGTTCCATGCTTCCACGTTCTGGTTCTATTTTGCTCATTAGTTTACTTTGTTCATTAGATTCCTCTTAACGGTGAGATCACATGGTATTTGTCTTTCACCACCTGGCTTATTTCACTTAGCATAATAGTCTGTAGTTCCATCGATGATGTCATAAAAGGTAGGATTTTCTTCTTTCTTTCTGCTGTGTAGTATTCCATTGTATAAATGTATCAGAGTTTTTCATCCACTCATTTACTGATGGGCACTTAGGCTGTTTCCAGCACTTGGCTATTGTAAATAGTTCTGCTATGAACATAGGGGTGATGAAGTTCTTTTGAACTGGAGTTTTGAGATTCTTAGTGTATATTCACAGCAGTAGAATTGTTGGGTCAAAAGGCAGTTCCATTTTTAATTTTTAAATATTCCATATTGTTTTCCACTGTGGCTGCACCAGTCTGTATTTTCAACAGTGTACTAGGGTTCTCTTTTCTCTACATCCTTGTCAACACTTGTTTGTTGATTTGTTTATGATGGCCATTCTGACTGGTGTGAGGTGATATCTCGTTGTGTTTTTAATTTGCATCTCTCTAATGGCTAGGGATGCTCAGCATCTTTTCATACACCTATGGGGTATTTTTCCATTACTGTATAACCCCCTTTATATCCTCCTACCCCTGTAATCACCATACTGTTGTCCATGTCCCTGAGTCCTTTTTCAAAATTTATAAGTTTGCTAAAGATTTATTAATAAAAAAGACATGTGACTTTAAACCCAGCTCACCCTAATGCTTAAGGAAGACATAATTTCTAAACAAGTCAAACTATTCCAGACCTTATAAAAATAAGATTTCAAACTGCAAGGATGGCCTATGCTTAACACGAAAACATGATATTCTGCCAAAAGTATGGACCAATCCTGATTTATGAATATAGGCATAAGGATTCTAAATAACTAGCATTAACAGCTGGAAGCCAACAGATTATCAAGTAGTATATACTATACAGTTTTATAGGTTTTATATGAATAATGGAAGGATGAATCCTCATTAGTAATTCTATAAACATAACTCACTTACACAAACAAAAGAAAAATATAACTTTAATATTGAGTAAATATACAAATTTAATAAAATTTAATGGCAATTTCTAATTAAAAATCCAAGCAAGAGAGAAATGGAATGAAATCTCCCATAAGAAAAAAGTATTTGGCTGATATTGGTAGTAAAGACTCTATGAAAATATGAAATACTAAAGGCACTGCTACAAAAAGAAGAGATGTCCGATATCTCTTTCATTCAATAATATATTTCTAAATGTAGGAAAGCCATAAGAAAATTAGATAACTAATACAAAAACTGGGAAAGAAAAGAGACAAAATTAGTAAATAATAGTGCATGCTTGAAAGAATCCAGGTAACTGCAGCAAAAGGGTTACAGAACTAATAACATAAATCAGTAAGTTGTCTGGCAAAGTCAACAGCTTCCTTACATGCAAACAATAACCACTTAGAAATAAAAACAAACAAAAATATGGCACAGTAGCAAAAAGTGATTAATCTTGAAATAAAGTTATTGAGAAAAGGATTATAATTTATATAAAAATTATTTAAGTATATTGAAGGGTACAAAACGCAATTAAAAAATTGAGTTTAGTACAGATTTATGGGGCAACATGCAAACAGTGAATTATTTTTTAGAAGTATTACAGAATTCCTCAGTTTTCTACAGAGGTTCTGTATCTTAATGGTAGCATATTACCATGCATATCTGTATACACTCACACATTTTTGGCGAAGGAAGACAAAATTTCTAAGATAGACTGAGAACTCTTTTCTGTGAACATAGTTACTCTGCAGCACAGAAACACAGGACTGTTCCCTTTAGACAACTCCTATACACACTCACATGAGACTTGGATTAGAATTAGGATTGTTGTCAAGGTAAGCATCTGTAAAGTAACAGAGTTCAAATCATCGGTGGCCATTAACTATGGGTGAAGCAGCTCAACAACAGCCAATTCGAACTCTTTTTCACCTAGTTTCACTTTCACTTGGGATTTGCCAACTTTGCCATCCATGGCCAAGGTACCAGCAAGTCCAACTTTCCTCTCTGGGCCAACTAAGGGACAATGCATTCCCTCTAAGGGAGGATAATAAAATGAAAAGGAGCAGAAAGAAGAGCTTTTTCTGCTCCAATAGTCCAAAGGGCATTTCCACTGACATTCGGTTTGATTGAAATACCATAGAAGATGCATATTTTACCTTCATTTTATGATGAAGAAATATGAATTAGATAACTTAGAAATGTTTACCTTTTCTCTTTTCAGTGGGATACTCTTTTATGATCCATACCGATTAATCTGTCATAATCAGCATTAATATTGCAAGTTATAGTATGCATGGGAGACACCAAAAAAACCCATAACAGTCTTCTGGAGGGTGGGCCCCTTATAGCACAGGCTTCACCCGCTAGGTGAGTGTCATACGAACCCATCTGTATCAGTATGCCAGGTGGTGTTGTTGTGAGAAGATATATTTGGCTTTAGTTATATTTTTTAATATTCTTTCAATGCATTTGCCCATTTTGTGATGGGTGAATTATGAGTGCACCTACCTGCCCGCACCACACTGAGCATTCAGCAGTTTTTCACCCAAAACGGTATGACCCCTGAGCCCCATCCTTCCTATTTTCCTGCTCTTGCCACAAGTGGCTTTTTTTTTTTTGTTTCTCCACATGAAAAAAGTTCTCAAAGGGAAACATTTTGCAAATGTGGAAGAGGTAAAACAAACAAAAAATGGCAGAAGCACTAAAGGCATCAAAATTGATGAGTTCAAAAACTGTTTTGAGCAGTGGAAAAAAGTCTCTATTAGGTGTATTGTATCAAATGGAAAGTAATTTAAAGATGACTGAAGTT